GGCGCTTCAAGGAGGTTGAGTGCAGCCTATGCATATGACAACGTCATATGACTAAAAAAATATTATATTTGTTGATCTTCTAATCCAATGAGATATAATTGTCAACGGATTTCAACTCGTATTCCATCCACATGTATGTTATCTGTGCACTAACAATCATATCAGACTGCATGGATAGTAGATTCGACGGAGTACGATGGTCATGTGCACTCCAACTCTCAAATCAGACGGTGAAAAATATTGAGAATGGAAGAGAAGCAACGAAAACAAGTGTATTGTTGCCATGTTTGAAATTATGCTTATTGTGCAAGAATTACCAAATATTAAACTTACCTTCGAAGGAGATGACTTGATATTTATAGGTAGAAGAGGTCTTTCTGGATGATTGATACGTGGCCTCATCAACGGTCACTTGTTTTCTTCAATATTGTTGGTGCTTGAATACTTTGTCTCACCTCGTAGAGCATCTCCCATGTCCATAAACAAGAACCTTTTTCGTTCAGATCTTTGGTCGAAACATGTTGGAATTAGAGTGGCCTAGTATTTATTGTCCACGTCAACCTTTTCAAAAAAGAGGCTAACAGATTGACGGCCTCTGTGGAAAACCACACATTTAACCATGAAGAACTCGTGGAAAAAGCTGTTAATGAGATATATTTTGGGGCAAGTTTCTTGCCTTTGAAGAAAAAGAATTTTTTCTTGAAGAAATAACCACCAAATATTCTAAGAGGAACCATTTGTTAGATGCCAATATATTCATTGAAAAAGGAATATCATTTGCATAAAAAAAACCAAGTTGTTTTTGGGAAGAAGACGTTACCATGAGTTCGGACAAAGAAGAATCAATGCCTCAGAGGGTTAGGGAACGCTCTGAAGAAGTGGAACCCTCACATGCTGCTCATATAGCCTGCCGTCGATTTCATCAGTAGCATGACGGGGAGGATCGAAAGGTGGATCCAGAATAGCTGCTAGACTCACAAGGGAGTTGGCCACCATATCCGCAAACATGAAGAATACTACCCAGTAGAACATTACCATGCAAGAGCTGTTTAGGAATATGAAAAATCAGGGAGGATACCCAAACCTCCAAACTCAGCTCAAGGAAATGATTTCCTTCACGACCCTTCCTTAGTTTTGCAAGTAAATTACTATCATGACGAAGAAGATGTCCAAAACCAAATGACCGATTATCAACACTACATCAGGGAAGAGGCCATTCAAGAGAGGGAAGTTGAGGTTGATACATCCACCAAATACGCTACTAATAGATCCAATGAGGCTCCATTAAACTTTCCTCCAAATTATGAATCGGAAGACATGTCTCAAAGACCTATAAGTGTTTTGACAAGTTAAGCCCTGAAAGGCCTAGAAATAGGCAGGCCCAACCTTCTTTTGCAAGACCACCTCAGTTTAAAAGTCAAAATGAGCCTATTCATGGCAACCTGCCTCAGAATCCTCCACCTAGGAATAGGAGCTAGAGAAGGGCAGAACATGCCAGGAATCAAGCAGGTCCATCACAACCTCCTCGGGAACCTCAAGTCAGAGAGGATGAAGATTCTGACGAACCATAAAGGTCTTGCGACCTCAACGACGATGATGACAATTTTCCATTTTCCCATGAAATTAGGGACGCCCATGTCCCAAGCCTCTTCATTCTTACTAAGATTCCCAAGTATGATGGAAGATGTGATCCTGCGAAGCACCTCAACAACTTCAAGACCCATATGAGTCTAAGGGGTTCAACTCATACCCTAAAGTATAGAGCCTTCCACTTGACTCTAAGCAGGGCGGAAGAAGTGTGGTACACCAGACTTCTAGAAGGAAGTATAAGAAGTTGGCTAGATTTCAAAGAGGCTTTCTTTAAGCGCTTCGCGACTAGTAAGGAAGGTGAAGGGCTTATATAGTGTGTCTGCAAGACATGAGACAGTAGCAAGGAGAGTCATTGAAAAGCTTCTTATCCCATTTCATTGATGAAATGACCAATTGTGCACAAGTTATCGATATGGAATCACTATTAGCCCCAAGGAGAGGGTTGGAAATGAATTATCTCTTTTTTAGAGACGTGCAAAACATGATCCTACCAGTTTGACGCCCCATTGGAAATGATAAGGCATAAGATTATCAATGAAGAATTGAAAGATCATCATAATAGGGCTAACTGGAGAATCCCATTTCCTCAAAGGCAACGAAGAAGAGGTCCCACCTCTTATTTGATGAAACACATGTCAGATAGTTAGCTACCTTCAACTCAGGACAAGCACTAGCTGCAGCAACGCTAAATGCAGTTCCAACTTTGGCTTATGAGGAAGTCAACCCCAGCGTTGAGACACGCCAAGAAAGGTCCAACCAACAGTTTCCCTAAAGAAGAAAGGGTAGAGGGCGAAGTTTTGAACCTAGAAATAGGGGTAAGACACTCATCTACTGCACCTACCATCATGCCTATAGCCATAACGTATCTGACTATATGGACATTGCGTTACACCCATAATCTGATAATCAAAGAAAGAATATACGCCCACGAGGAGATGAGCCTCCTAATTAGGATTGACAACTTAGGAGAGCTGAGATCAGACATCCCATTCAGAATGACGCTCCTGGAAGTAAGAAAACAATGGGGAGAGTCATAGGGAAGGTGTCAAAGGCAAAGGAAAAGCCCTCTAACTATCACTGGCCACGAACCTATTTGAGAGATTGCCATAATCTTTGAAGGACTGTATGTTGGAGGGGGGGAGGGCAGGGGAACTATAAATACTCAAATGAACTATGCAAGGGAAGCCAAGGATCTCCCAATGACAAGCATCATAGTCAACAACAGTCGACCCTCAATTGGGAGAGGGATACAACCTATTACTTTCACATAAGATGATGCAGCTGGTCGCATTATGATACCTTGGTGGTAAGGGCCGTTGTAGCATGAAATGGCCTAAAAAGAATGTCAGTGAATAATGGGAGTTCAGTCAATATCATATTTGAGACAACCTTTGATAAAATAGAAGTGGACCATGAGCTAATCCCTATGAACTCCCTTTTTTATGGTTTCACTGGCGATATCATAATTTTAAGGGGAAAAATCACTCTAATAGTGGAGATGGGAACGACACCAATGACAGCTCATCACTTTATAGAGTTTTTGGTAGTGGAAAACCGTTCTGCTTACCATGAGGTACTAGAAAGACTAGCGTTAAAGGAATTATGGGCAGTTATGTTCATTCACCACTTGTACATTAAATTCCCTACTGAAAATGACATCGCCACTTTTAGAGGCGATCAAATGAGTGCAATTGAGTGCTATTTGAACTATCTTAGGAAGGCAAAACTTAGGTATGTCAATGTAATTTTGATAGAAACCGACATGAACGACGCCCTTGAATAAGGACAAGATGTCAAAATGGTGGACGCTTGAGAAGAAAAAGTCGTCTCTGAAGTAATAAGGGCTCCTGAAGAAGGGAGAGCTGTTGAAGAAGCGGCTAAGTTAGATGAACTAGATCCTTACATCATTGATTACGAACCTCAAATAGCCACTGTGGAAGAGTTGAGAAGGTTTTCCAGTTGATCTCCAGTACCTCTCTAAATTCGTGCAGGTTGGAAGATATCTGCTAACGAAGGCTAAGGAAAAATTGAAATGTTTTTTATGTGAAAATTTGGATATCTTTGCTTGTAGGCATGAGGACATGGTCGGTATAGACCCAAAAGTTAGTTGTCATTACTTAAATATTGGTCCTAAAACTGCTTTTCATCGACAGAAAAGGAGGGTCCTCAACCTAAAAAGGTACGAGACCCTAAAGGACAAAGTGAATAAGTTGATTGACAATTGTTTCATCAAAGGATCAACTTATTCGAAGTGGGTATCTAATCGTCCTTGTTAAAAAACATAATGGAAAATGAACGGTATGCGTAGATTTTTCTAATCTCAATCAAGTTTGTCCCAATGACAGTTTTCGACTCCCGCAAATAGATTAACTCGTTGACTCCACTGCTGGGCACAAACTGCTGAGCTTCATAAATGTCTACTCAGACTATAATCAAATCCAATGTACCCGGCCGATGAAGAGCATATGTTCTTCATAGCGAACATAGGTCTCTATTGCCATAAGGTGATATGGTGGTGAAAAGCCCGAAAGCAAAGATTATACCATGCACAANGTGAAAGGCCCGAAAGCAAAGATTATACCATGCACAACCTCTTAAAGTTAAAATAAAATGAATAGATACCATTCACAATAATCAAACAAACCAGAAAAGTTGGGTTGGAGAGGGAAATTTGAGAGAGATGATCTCGTTACTTTTTAAGTGAAGCAGTAAAGATAAAGAGAGATGAAAAAAGGAAGCTAAAAAAACCCAAAAAGCTGTAAAAGGTCATTTTCAGCGAGGGATAGTGGTGGAATTTTTGGAGTATCTGTCCCTCTATACCCCACCCCACACCCTCAAGTCATAACTCATAACCAAGTGTTATCACTAAGAAGTTGAAACTAAAAAAGAAAAAATCTTGGAGAGAGAACCCAATAGGGAAGGAATTTAGATTGAAGAAAATTTGAACAGAGTAGGCAATATTAGTTAAAGAAAGATAGAGAATTGGTGGCGTTCTCTGGTTCTGGTATTAGTGTTTGTGTAGACTGCACAAAAAACAGCAGGTGCAGAGGCCATTGATGAGATCACAGAAATCTTTAATCTCCTTTCTGACCAAACACTGCCAACTGAAAAAAACTTGTCCTCTTGTTTCTTGGTTCGAAACCCATCTCATTGACTGAACAAAAAATATTAGTGTACTGGAGGAGAAGAGGGATTCTTGATTTTAGCTAGTAAATCAAGAATTCTCTTTATATTCAGTACAGATTACAGTAATAGATAGAGTATGTACTGTTAGCCTATTATTAAAAGCTGTGTAAAAGTGAAAAAAGCAGTATGAAGAAGATGGGTTAGGCTGAAAATTTAGATTGTTATAGGCTTTTTGGTGTGGGGAGTGCTCTCTCTGTTTAAAGTGATGGAATTTGGAAGGTTGAATGGCAGAGACTTTTGGGGTAAGCAGATATTACAGAAACAGAGCAAGAAGAAAGAGAAGAAGAGTGAGAAGCAGCAGCAAAAGAAAGCCACTCATTGAAAATTAAGCAAAAGTTGTTTAAAAAAGAAGCTGGAACAGGAAAAGAACAAGGGTCTGAGTCTGGATCCTCTGAGGAATCCTCATCTTTATCCGAACCAGAACCAAACATCCCAAGTTGTTAGATTCTCAAGAAATGTAGAAGAACAGGAAGAGGAAAAAGACCAACGCCGCCGCCGCCAGGAGGAGGAGGTAAAACAACCACAACCAGTAGCGCCGCTGTCCCATGGTAATCAACACCAACATCTCCATCATTCTGTAGAATTTTTCCAAGAAAAACAGCCGTCAGTCTTTGTTAGTTTAGAAGAAATAGCATTGCAGCAACAACCGCAGCCAACAAAGAAACGTTCATATCATCCTTCGTCTTCATCATCACTGGAGCCGGCCGGAGAACATGCAAGATTGTCTGAGAAAATGGGGGGAAATTCTCATCACCGCCAAATGTTGTCAAGATTGAGAAACACGGGCGGCGAGATAGTGGAAGTTCAAGGCGGCCATATTATAAGGTCCACAGGACGAAAAGACCGGCACAGTAAAGTCTGTACCTCGAAAGGACCAAGGGACCGCCGTGTTCGCCTCGCTGCTCATACTGCCATTCAGTTCTATGATGTACAAGACCGCCTTGGTTTTGACCGCCCGAGCAAGGCGGTGGATTGGCTTATAAAGAAGGCCCAGGCAGCCATTGACGAGCTGGCGCAACTGCCGGCCTGGAAACCCACCACTGGTTCGTCAGTAGATGCGACTTTTGAGCAAGATGCACAGGAACTTTTTGACGAGAACCACCAGCTACAATCACAGCGCCAGATGGACACTAATATTGCAGGGCCTTCGAGTAAAAGGGCAATGACAATGCTGGGAGGTGAAAGTGAGCAGCAAGGCTTGCACCAGAGGGGTAATGTGAATCCGAACTCGAAATTGAACGTGAACTTTCTGCCCCCTTCGTTGGACTCGGATGCCATTGCAGATACTATCAAGTCCTTCTTCCCGATGGGTGCTTCGGCCGGGGCCAGTTCCTCAGCTATGCAGTTTCAGAACTTTGGAACTGATGATTTGCTGTCAAGAACCAATAGCCAGAGCCAAGATCTAAGGCTCTCTTTGCAGTCATTTCAAGATCCAATTTTGCTCCACCACCATAACCAACAACAGCCTCAGCAGCATCAAAATCCCATTCACCACAATGAACAAACACATGTTCAATCACAAGCACAAGTCCTACTAAGTGGCACCCCGTTGGGGTTTGATGGCACTGCTGGCTGGACCGAACAACACCAGGAGATGTCTGAAATCAGTCGGTTCCAGAGACTTGCAGCTTGGAATGCCGGTGGAGACACCGCGACTGGGAGTGGTGGAGCAGCTATATACTCATTTAATTCTCCATCAGTGCCTCAGCCACTGTTGCAGCAGCTGTTAGTCCAAAACCAGTTTCTTTCTCAGAGGGGACCCCTTCAGTCCAGTAACTCACCTTCGGTTCGTGCTTGGATGGACCCATCCGCCAGCGCTATTGCTACGGCTGATCATAGCCAACATCAGCAGAACCATCCTGCAGTGTTTCCCATTTATCCATCTTCGCTTCCTGGCATTGGATTTGCTTCAGGAGTGGGTGGATTCTCTGGGTTTCATATTCCTGCACGAATTCGGGGTGATGAAGAGGAGCACGATGGTTATTCCGACAAGCCATCCTCTGCTTCCTCTGATTCTCGCCATTGAGTTAAACTCACAAAACAGAGAATGCTCTCTTGCATTGACAGGTAAAATACACTTAATCCCATTTTTCAGTTTTTCAGTGTTAATTTGTTTTTCTGCCAATTTTTAGTCAAGAATAATGTATGCTGTTACATTGGAATGAATTTTCAGGAATTTATCAATTTGCCAATGGGAGAATACAATCTATCCTAGTTTTTGCTGCTCCTGGTTCTGAAGAACCAAAGGGGAGGTACTTTTGGTGAGTTAAATCCGATGGCCATGGCCGTGGGAAGAAGAATTCTGAGGGCCTTTTCAGATTTTTCGATCCCGGTTTGCTATTCTACTTAGTCATCTAATGCTAGTGCTTAGTTTCATGTATTTACTGTCTGAGTGAGCTAGTAGCTCAACTTTGTTTCAAGCCATTCTATTACTTTCTTTTTTTGTTGTTAGAAGTGTTCTGCCGCTACTGTCTGTTTGTTTTGTTCCTACTCTTCTATGAATTATCAGGCAATGAATTTAGGATTTTAAGGAAGATGTGTTTTTCATGAAATAAAACTTTACATCTACTTCATTTGGACCAAACCTGGTTGTCAAATTGGGTGTTATTTTGCGGTGGCATTACTGATTTTAGCTGTTTGTTGCTTTCTTGAATTAATGAGAGGAACAATAAATTGGGTTGTCTCCTTTGTTTTGGAAATGGTCAATTCGAGAATATTGTGATTTATTGATTGTCTGCCTGCCTTCCTATAAATGTTACAGTTCATACCCTCATCAAATTTCTTAGGCCATCAAAAAGAATAGAAAGAACTACCGATCTTTTATGTCCATCCCTTCTTGTACTTGTAGGGAGCATTGTGATAGAAGTCATTTTCCATGAAAATTCCGGCTGTTTCCTAAGAACTATTCATCTTTCGATGTGGAACTGGCATAAAAGTGTCACTTATCTTTATTGGGGAGCCATTTCAAGCATCTTAAATCTTACCTACTGATGCCTACTCATTATTTTTGTGATAGCCGTTATTCTTATCGAACTGATTTAGCTTAGCATCATAACTAGGATTGAGCAGTCCCGAATGGGTCGGTCTCCATTCATTTCAAGGTCTTTTCTTAAGATTGTCGTGAAAGGGCAAATAATTAAGTTTGAGAATGACTTTTAACTCTTGTACTAGATGCCGTATAACTTACCATACTTGAAGTTGGCATGAATTTTGCTTATGAAAGCTCCATTGACCTTGACCTAAGCAAATGGTACGTTTGGTTGGGAGGGTTTGGATAGCACTCGTTGGTATCGAGGAAGAATAAGAAGCTTAAATCTTATTCACTATACTACCAAACGTGTGCTAAACTGAGTAAGGTTATACGATCTAAAAGTCCGTTGAAGTCAGCTCATCTGTTCGTCTGAACTCGAAGTTACCCAAACTTACTTTTCAATGCCTTGTTTATCTTTAAACATGTTTGCATAAATTACTTAATTTCCTTAGAAGTAAAAGAATTTACTTATCCATTAATTCCTCTAACTATGACACTTGGCCATCATTTACTGGTCCCTACCCAGCAAATCTTCAGTCTCTTTAAAAGTTAGTATAGCTGGAAACTGTTCTACACCTTTGGAAAAATATAAAGAAAAGCGTTTTGTTTATATCGAGATGGTGACAAGTGCTTGATGGTTGTTGGTACTTCTTAATGGCTGATGAGTCTCATCCCAAATGGGAAGAATAAGTTCAGCTTCAAGTCATTTTTACATTGCCATAACTCATTACAGAAGTTTTAAACTGGGAAACCTCTTGAATGCCATTTAGAGTGACAGTGATGAAGAAAGTAGGATCCCAGTTTAGAAGAAGACAAGATCCATGAGTAACAACCCTGTCGAAGGGTATGTTTGAGTCGAACCATCTCGTCTAAAACTAGTGAATGGTAAACTAAGCAATCCTTACCTATATAATGGTTTCTGATAATGCCAGAAGTTAAAAGTAAGTAATTTCTTGTTTGAAGAAATCTGAACAACTTATGGAAGAAGTATATTGATATTGGGCACAAGAATACATATTATCTCAATCCCTCGACATTACAATTGTAATTTGTAACTCTTCTTTAATGTTTATAATGATGTCATGGCAATCGTGGCACTCTTTACAGAAACTTGTATTTAAAGTCAACATCGACCTAAAGTATGCAGTAGAATTAGACAAAGTTTGATTTCTTAAATGAAAAATCAAGCTCTAAAAGTTCAGATGTATTGAAGGGTTTTAATATTGAAAAAATAAAAAGATGGTCCCGGCGGGGCTCGAACCCGCGACCTTCGGCTCATAAGACCAACGCTCTAACCAACTGAGCTACGGGACCTCGCGGGAAGAGCAAGCAAATCATGATAAATTTAAAGTTTCTCATTTCCCCAATTTCCCTTTGCCTGCATATATTGCCCAAGGGGCTTAGTAGTTTCCGACTGAAGAGGCCGATTATCAACCTTGGACGTTAAAGCATTTTCAATAGACTATTTAAAATTAAAATGCTATTTAATTTAATAATGCAATCCTTAAAAGGAAATTTATACAAAACGAGAGGTCAAATCTAGTCTCCTCCTAAGTTTATACGTTTTATTTTATGCTACTAATATAATACTTCACCATGTTTGAGTTAAAAAAATTACTTATTTTCAAATTTAGCCAAACACGTGGTAATAGAATCTTGTGAATAGATGCTTTGTGTGGTAATTTGTATCTCTTTTACATCTCATCTCACAAAATCTTTGAATCTTAAACGACAAAAGAGGTGGTGCCACGGTGGCTCCACCGTCCTTGCGGCGAAGTTGTGGTTGCCCTCTTGAAGACAAAATCTTTGCTTTGTTTGCAGTATAGTATAGAGGGTTTTTTGAGGGCCCATTTTGAAAGCCAAAATCCATTGGCATTTATTTTTCAAGATTTGATGATGCATTCGGTCATCTTCATAATCTCTCCCTTCATTTTTACGAGTTTGTGTGTGTTTACAAAATAATGCCTTTTGTAGTTAGTCTGTAGTATTTTTTTAATTTTTTTGCAGAGTAAGCAGAATCAAACTTCGTCGCCACCACTTCATATCTTTCAACTCCGATTTCCCTATCCCATCAACTACATTTTTCTTTTAACAAGAACCTTTAAAGAGTTGGAAATAAATAAATTATTTTCAAAATGAATGGTAGCGACGATGGCGACGACAGAAGCTCTGCACCACTAGTGGGTGGGATTGGGTGTTGAACTTGATTTGGTCACCAAACTTTACAACGAACATATTTATTAGAGAAAAGTTGATATAACATATTTTAATTTCCCGTGGAGACATGGTGGCGCTACTTGAAAGCTAATATCGAATAAAGTGCATTTAAATGTTTAGAAGGTTAACATTTTACTTAGAACTTGTTTGTTTTGGATTAAAATCTGATTTTAATTTAAATCAAAGTCAAACAATCACTATTAATCACATTTTTCATGGTCACACAACTTTTCAACCACACATTCCAAAAATTTCTATCACAATTTACTAAAAATCTAATTTCAATCTGACCAAACACCCTCTTAATGAATGAATACTTCCTTTTGTAGAACCAAACCTCCCCTCTTTGATGTTGAAATACATGCAGTGGGATTAGATGGAACCCACTTCATGCAAAGCTTCAAAACTCAACAAAAAAACATATCATTATTTGCTGCAAAAATGGACAAATAAGTCTTCTCTCTCACGCTTTGCTACTTTAGGAAAAACCCGATTAATTTTATGCTGAAGAAAATCAAAGGGCTGTAAAATGGAGAGAGAGTTGGTCTAGAAAGGAAAGAATGGAGCGAGAATTTGGGCGTAAAATTAGAATTTATTAGTGAGGGTCAAACTATTCAAATCGGTTGCTTTGGATTCGCATTAAAAAGTTTAAATTCTGAAAATCTTTGTTATAATTTTCATAATTCAGTATAAATTATCTGATCTGTCGCTCAGACAACTGGGTTTTGAGAAAAATCCGAAACCACTCAGATTCTCTCCCTTTTATTTCTCACTTTAATGGGTTTTTGTAATCTTTCTGAATTATGAGGGATATTCTTGATTCCATATATTTTGTGTAATCTATTGAATGGAGATTTAGTTCTTTAAATTCTTAATAAATTTTCCATCTGGGTTCATTTCAAAACCCTCAGATTCTTTGTTATTTTTCAGATTTTGTGTATCTTCAAGAATATGGTAGAGGATATGGTGGATGGTTTGTCATATATAATATCCCATTTGGGTTCTCCTTTAAATTCCAAGATTTATTTTTAAGCTTAAAGGGAAAATGGGTGTGGATATGAGCAGTTGTAGTGGTGGTGGTAACAATGGCGATGGCGGTGGCGGTGGTGGAGATGGTGGTGGTAATTCGAAAAAGGTGAAGCAAAAAAAAGTTCCACAGAGAGGATTAGGTGTGGCTCAACTAGAAAAGATTAGATTGGAAGAACAACAAAAAAATGATGCAGCTTTACTGGCAGCTAATCTTTTGGCCAAATCAATTGTTTCACCTTCTTCAAATTCAATCCCTTTAGTCCCACCATCACCAAATGATCTTGCTTCGCCTAATTCTTCATATAATCTTTCCCAATCAATTCCATACATCGAGTTTTTACATCCGAATTCAGTTCGATTCTCGAAGCCATTGAATGTGAGTGGAGGGGAAACAGGTTTGGAGCACAGCAGTTGGTCTAAATTGTGGAATGGTGAGTACAATCTTGAAGGAAGAGATCTTCATAGATTCACCATTCGACCTCACACGAATTTTCCATATGAGTCGAACCCTCCCGGTTTTTTGCCCCGTCCAAGTGCACAACAAAGTGTGCATCAATTCCAGCCACCCGCTTCTTCATCAATGGTTAGACGATTAGTCCAATGTATAATTTAATCTGTTCACTTATTGATGGAAAAAATTCATTTTTGCAGGTGAATGCCTCCTCAGGGATTTCATCATCATCTGTGCTAAATTTTCAGATGGAGCCCCCTTCAAACCAAAGTTATCTTGGCAACAATTATCGACCATTTTGGCCAGAGGAGGAGAAGGTATGCTTATTCTTTTCTAATTTACGACTATAATCAAGACGACTTTGTTTTTCTTTTGACGAATGAGATCTAGCATAATGTGGATGTTTATGTCGTGATTCAGTTTAAGTTTCAGTTTCTCCCCAGTAAATCCTTTGAAAATGGTAGATCGTTACGGACTTCAATGTCCCTTCTTCATTCTTGGTAGGATCGAGCGAAGGTCTTATCAATATTTGGTAGCTAATTTAATTTGGTTGTGATCGAAATGTAGATGGTTGGCATAAAGAGGTCATATCCCATCTCTATGGAAACTCCTCCAGCCCCTTCTTTCCAAGGCAAATTTCTTCCCACCCATCTAATCGCCATTTCGGGATCAGATGAATCTGGTTCATGTAGCAATGGATGCATCACACAGATGGAACCAAGCATTAAAAAATGCAGCAGGTTTCTCCACCATCAAATACTCCAATCTCATCTTGCTCATCAGCATCCTCGATTATATGCAGTATGCTAACCGTGTTTCTTTAACAACTTTCTCAGAGAGGGCCCTTTGACCCCAAACCCCCTGCTCGAGCGAAATCCAAATGAAGTAACTAGAGAAAATAGAGGTCTGAATGTAGATTTCCTCACATTGGCTCCTCCAGCTGCTTCCTCTCCTCTGAGCTCAGAACATAAGCATCCGTTCGCATTTTTGGGCCATCACGAGCAAGAGTTATCTGATTTCAAATATATTCATAGTCAGGTGTGGAACAAGAAATTTTTCATCATTGTTTTCCTTTTTGTTTATGTTTTTTACTTCCTTTCCATTGTTAGGGACGTGCCAAAGATCCAGACCGAGGGTCGACCCAACAACCACCTTTTACCTTTTTCCCGTCCAAGGTACAAATCGGACAAGGATCAAGTTGCTTCGACTATGGCAATGGTGAAAAACAAGAAACGATTGATCTCAATCTAAAGCTATAGAGACTTGCTCAAGTCTTATGGTGTACGATGTCTCCATCGAAATGGATTGTGTTCGTCCTTTTCAAGTTTTCGCGAATACAATTGTAATATGGAGCTGAATATATAAGAATAGAGCCTTAAATGATGAATTCTTGGCATTAGTAGGGAAAAGATAGAGAGATGAGAGAATTTTGTTTGTTTAAAGCTATGTATAAGCAAACCGTTTGATGTTTTTTTGATTCATTTACTTGCTTGGTAGTATTGGCAACAAACTAACATGTGACTTGTGTACATCTTACTATGATTTTGTCCTGTCTCCCTTCAAATTAGGGATTGTAACGGGACGGGAACGGAGCCGCCCTCCCTATACCCGACTTATTGGGGATTTTTGGGGGGCATGCAGGCTTAAATTTGAAATTTTATTTGGGGAACATTACATATTTAACGTTATTAAAATATACAATTTCAAAATTAAGAAATGAGTTTTGAAACTTCAAAAATCAAGTTATAACTAAATATATTAAGGCCACAATACTTTATAATTTATAATCAGAGATACTTACTAGTCACAATTACTGAACGATCACAAATAATAAATTCCATTGGTTACAATTTATTATCGGTCATAAATTTTCAAATTAATTGATTATGCATATTTTTTCGGTCATAAATAACAAATTTTATAGGTTACAACTTATTTCAAGATCACAAATTATTGAATTATCACAAATTATAAAATTAATTGGTTATAACTTAACAAATTGTGAGTCACGACTATAAATTTAATTGCAATCTCATATTTTTTAGCTTACATATTATTTACTAGTCACTTATTATTCATTTTATGAGTCACGTGTTATTTATTGGTCATAAATTAACCACATAGTTGGTCACAAACACCTTTCATCCTACCCTTCCCCACCCTATCACCAACACCAATAGTTGGTCACAAACCCACCCCACCCTATCATCAACACCAATCAAACATCGAGCAACTTTACACTTATCGCCACCACTACTACATGCACCACTACCATTTGTGACTTGCACCCACAACTACCACCACCATCACCTCTCCATCACCACTTGCACCACAACTACTACCACCACCATTTACAAACCATCAACAAAAAATACCTCAAAACTCTGGCTAAACGGCAGATCAGAGGAGGAAGAAACAACCCTAAAACAATCGCCTGTTGTCCTATCTTCTATCAGCCATATCGACTTATTGTAGCACCGTCGACCACCATAATTCCACCATCACCTCTCCAAATCAACAAACAAACCACCAATAGCCTCCACCAAATTCGAAATGTTGACCCAATAGATTCAA